TTTACGGTTTGCTATAACAGGCACTTTGATCCATTTTAATTATTACAGCATTTTAAAACGTCCCAATTGTGTTTTTTTAATTTATAAATTTATTATAGCCATGGAATTAGACCCCTCGTCTACGCTTATGCTATGACGTTTCTCAGGACTGGTAAATCAAGTCCGTTTACACCCACTAAAAAAGCATTTCCCTATTCCCTACCAAGTGCAAAAGACAGAGATAAAATATAGATCGACGTTCAGTGTAACTCAGTCTATACACGATTATAGATTCTACCGATGTGCATGGCGAGCGGCACAACGATAAATAATATTGAACCGTATAGAAATCATTTCATATTTTATACGCATTATGGTAATAGTGTTTTTATATTATGTATTAGTCACTCTTTATAATTTCGGCCGCCGAGTATAGGCTAATTCACCTATATCCGAAATAGCTTTGTTTGGCTGCTAGATGGCCTCAAAGTTGGTGAAAATTTTTTTAATTTTGTAAATAACTCGAATACATAATGATTGATTTTGATAATTTTTGGGGTGCGAACTTTTGCTTTCAATCTACACAATTTGGTGCGAATTCGTTTGTGTATTAATCAAAATGGAGGACACTTCGAGCAATCGCTGTAAATCAGTGGTCTAAGGATTCTTCTCCTTGTCGTGTTCCGAGTTTCTGTTTGTTTCATTTTGCGTTTTGTTTTGGTTGTCGTTAGTAGTTTACTTTTGTTTGTTAAACCACTTTTTAAACATGCCAGTAAATATTGACACTGTCAGTCCCAGGTCTGATAAAATGTGAGAGGAAAGTGATTTTGCAAGGTCTTCTTGATGCTTACATAGCTACTTTTTCGGACTTTAGAAAAGAACCAGGTTTTTCTGGAAAACTGTTAACGATAAGTATGGACAACCTTATATCAGTAGACTGGCGCATTCAGTTTTGCATTCACCCATGACAATTAAACATTGACATTTGAAACAAAAAAGTTTTTCAACTCGTAACATTATTAAATGTAGGTCTCAGTATTTCCGAGTCTGAATAACGTACACGTTTTGCTCACAGATGCCAAAGCAAACTGTGAAAACTGCAGGTTTCTAAGGCCCGTATGCAGAGTCGATCGCCAGCGACTCACCAGAGATTCAATGTTTGCTGGACGAGATTTTCAATGCACAGTCGTTCGCCAGCCAACTCAAGCATGCGCACTAGTGAAATTTATGGCAAAGCGCCGGAGAATCGCCGGAGATTGCCATTAGCATCTCCAGCGTTTCTCCAGAAAGCAAGTAACCTATTTTTATTGTGTTTTTGAGATTGTTCCAATAATGGATCGTGATTTTAACATGTTGTATAACGCAAACAGAGATATTTCTGATTTAGATATACTCACACCTACACAGGGTGATTCACAAACGGTGACCAAAAATGAAACCTGATATTCTTTGGTGAATTTTAAGGGGTGTATATCGTATAAAGTTTTTATTTAGGACGCTCTGGTAAAAAGATACGGGGTGTTAAATTTAAAAAAATATTTAAATTTTTTAAAATAATTTAAAAACTAGTAACTGAAATAATTTGAAATTGGGCACATGTATTTATGTAAACATTGTACAAAATCTGAGGCTCTTTCCGAAAATTTAGATGCTCCAGTGCCGGAGATACAGGGTATCGGTAGCATATTTTTCTAAATTAAATAGTATGCCACTGCTTTATGATCATCAATCATAATATTTTCGAATTCATCTTTCAATTTTCTACTAATTACTACTCATGTTTTTCGAAAAAAAGTCTGATTTTTCGAGTAAAACTTAAAAATCGAACTGGGAACACATTTCGGTATTCGAATAAAATTCGGTTTAAAATTACATAGTAGACTGCAATAACAACTTTGAAAATCTGAGCAGTTCGAAAAAAGAATAAATATTGCTTTTCATTACATTCAAGCAACAATAAATTTCGAACAAATTATATTTTCGTTAATTAAAAAGATTCCGCGCCTGTGTTCGTGGAAATGGAGTATTTTTGAGCATTTAGTCAAATAAAATCATTAAAGTCATGACTAATGTTATAAATTTCTTTATTCAATTAAGTAACCGAATGATTAGTGTCTGCATGTTATTTAAGTAAAAATGTCTTCAGTTCGTTTTTTAAGTTTTACTCAAAAATCAGGCTTTTTTCGAAAAACATGAGAGACTAGTAATTTGTAGAAAATTGGGAGACGAATCCGAATATATCATGATTGTTGCCATAAAGCACTGGCATACTATTTTATTTAAAAAATATGTCACCGATACACTGTATCTCCGCCACTGGAGCATCTAAATTTTAGAAAAAGGCCTCAGATTTTGGACAATATTTACATAAATGCATGTGCCCAATTTCAAATTATTTTAGTTACCAGTTTTTATATTACTTAAAAAGCTTTAAAATATTTTTTTTAAGTTTAACACCCTGTATCTTTTTAACGAAGCGTCCTAGACAAAAACGAAAGACTCCCCTTATAACTCACCAAAGAATATTAGGATTCATTTTTGGTCACTGTTTGTGAATCACGCTGCATATTGAAATTGTAACCGTTGTTGTAAATTGTAAAGTAAAACATTATATTTTGAAATATTTTAAACAAGAATTTTCAACAAAGAAAAAATGTTTCTCATATAATGCAGATCGTGTGGATGATAATGTATAAGTTGATGGATCTATTATAATTATTTGTAGATAGTATATGGAGTCTTAAGAGTATACAATCAGGTCACTGTTAGTCGTGTAATTGAAAAAACTACTCTAGTATACCCTAATAAAAAAATTACTTAAATATTACATAAATACAACTTTCCCATTCCTACTGTACCTTAATAAACAAATTACTTAAGATATTTTATAACTACAGCTTAATATATTAACAACTGCTATTAACGCCGAAAAGGAAAATTTGATTTAGTCTTTTACTACCGCTACAACCCTTTAGATAATTATGCTTCGACAATAATTTATGCGATACAAACAACTACATACCAGAGATGCTCAAAGTAATACATTTCAAAGTACCATACCATGCACAAACTCAGGTTAGAACAGTACGTAATAGGTGTAAAATAGCATTGCGCATGCTTAAGCGCCTTTAGTTGAGACTATCACTCATCTGGCGATGCGCCAAAGCGGAGATCGCCGGGCGAACATCTATGCAATAGAAATTACGTGCTGTTCTTTCGCCAGCGACTCCCCAAAGATTCACCAGGTAAAACTTTGGCGAGTCACTGGCGATCGACTGTGCATATGGGGGTAAGTCTTACGGTTTAGGCGCTATCTAGACAGCTGAAATCGTGATTTTTTTCAAAAACAACTGATTACCTTGAAAACGGCAAGTTTTAAACACCATGTACATTTAATAAACTCCACCTAATATTAACCAAGGAATTAAAAAATGCAATAAAATACAGGGTGTTCCATTTAAAATAACAAAGTTATGTAGCGCCCACGCAAAATGGAACACCCTGTAAAGCTAAAAATATTTTCTTTACATGTCCCACATGATTCCAGACAACTTTTATTAAAACCATTTTTTTATAATTTTACAGTTAGTTACAGAAGAATCCCTCTTAGGTGGAACACCCTGTATAAAATTCTGCTCTAGTTGTTTCCAAGATCCTCGTTGTATAGTGGTAATAAAATTTCGTTCAGTGAGGATTAAAAAATTGAAAAGGAGCGTAAACATAAATTAAGTTTTAAAGGCAGTTAACTACCAAACATACGTCGTACCACACAGATTTTCTTTTCAGATCTGTGACATCTACTGGCAGCAGCTTATAAAAAAAAAGACCAATTGATTGGAATTTGAGAAAATTCCACGGACATACGAGACATTTCCTGATGTAGGTTCCCCCAACGTTCCTAGACTATGAAATTCTGATAATCCTTGGCAAAATATGCAATACATAGCACCCTGTATAAAAGTATTATTACTATTACTTTAAAAATATTTTTCAGAAATAAAACTAAATCCATGATGAAATAAAGTATTTATTAAATAATCTCGAATGAATCCAACTTTTCTGAATCAGATAAGGATCTTGTCTATTACATAATTTTATTTACAGGAGCAAGTGCCCGTTAATTTTTTTTAGAGCTGGAAAATCAAACCCATAAAATTTATTTTTACTACTCTAAACGAATTGATTTTTTTTTAATTAAAAGACGTTTTAAATTATTAAGTACTTTATATAGACGCATTGCCATAAAAATCGAAATTTTTCCAACTCTAATGTTTATCAATAAATCACAATTTTAACCAGTCTTTAGTTTCCAATTTTCATTAAAAAAAATTGAACCGACTTGTTACCTAAAACTAAAATTTTTTTAACACTACGACTTCCATTATATTAAAATTAACTTTAATTAATTTCCATTATTTCCTTGAGTGTTAATATTGAAATTTAGTAACACAAAGCTTAACTAACAAAAATGCCTCCCAATAAACCAAAGATAAAACGATTTAAATTTCATAAGAATACTTTGAATACAAGAAAGAACCGCTCACAGATTAGATAATTTAGCGCTACGCAAGAAGCTAGAAATAAGTAAATATTCGGGATATGACCTACGCCCCAATAAACCAAAGATAAAATAATTTAAACCTCATAAGAGATACTTTGAATCCAAGAAAGAGCTGCTCGGATATTAGACAGTTTAGCTCTACACAGGAAGCTAGAAATAAGCAAGTATTCGGGATACGTCCTACGCCCGACTTTTTGAACAGTCCCCTCTGCCTTGCCTGTCTCTGCACCAGGTATAATATTATCGCTACTTTGCGAAAATGTCTTGTTGTTGATCCTTCCCTCACAAAGAATTTTTGTAGTGAGACTTAACAACCACTGCAAAATCTACAAATAATGCAACAAATAAAAATTAAAATGTGATATAAGGCAAAAAAAATGAAGTTTTACCTCTGCACTGGTAGGCAGCTTTATATTGCCTGGTTTCAGCCAAGTACTAGGTGCCCACAAAAATAGCTGACAAACATTCGCTGCGATTTCAGGATGGAGTCGCTGAAAATACATCGAGTTCAAGTTGATTTGTTAACATATTGTCTAATTATTGGTTTATTAAAATTCAGAAGATTAATAATGTCACTGACTATATTACAAAACCATTGATTGTGAACTACCCGTGGCTCATGGCTTTAAGTAGCTCACTATCACAGAACAATTAATTCGAGATATTGCCATTTCAGAAAAACAAAAAAAAAATGTTTAACCGGATATAAATTTATTATTTTCTGCTCAATCTTTTTGCTAAATGATTTTTCAACTGATTATCCTTAATAAAAATTACTTGAATATCAGTATTTTGGTGTCAACGAAATAACATTACATTTTTGGACAAAAATTGTTCCTGGGCCAAAACGGCTCATTTCGAACTAGGGGTTTATACGCAAAAATTTTCTACCACAATGTCCTATATATCCCCCTCAAGTTTGGCAAAACCTTTTTGAAACACCCTGTATATCGACATTAATAAGGAATCTACAGGGTGGTCCGAATTTTGTGGAGGAAACTTCGAGGGCAGATATATCTCGTTAAAATAGTAGGTGTTTGCCTTATAAATATTGGTCTGGAAGAGCCCCGTTTTAAAGATACAGGGTGTTGAAGTTGTTAAAAAAATTGATTTTTTGTTTATATCTCCAGAATCCATTGACCGATTTCAATAAAATTAAGTACAGATAATGTATGATAGTATGCCTTGTATTTCCTAAAATATGAGCTCTAAAGGTTCAACCAGTGGTGTACAACTGAACAGGGTCACCCCCTTTTTTATAAAAAAAAACCTACAGCACTGTATTTTTTACAAGCTATTGTAGATTTATAGATACAGATTTATATTTTAATGCACAAAATACGTAAAAAAGGTAACTTTTTCCCTAAAGTTCACAAGTTCTCAAGTTATTCATACCAATGCAATCTCTTTGTGGCAGACACTTCTAACCATAATATTACAAGAATATTTATGTTTGGGGACCTTTCTTCTTGCCACCCCATCTAAATTCCCAGTGATTTCTAAGCTTTTTAGAAAACCATCTATTTGAATTATTAGAGGATGTTCCATTAAATATACGACAAAATAGCTGGCTTCAAATGGATGGTGCTCCTGTGCATTTTAGGAGAATAATACAAGAATGGCTTAATGAAAATTATATGGGGTGACGGATAGGTAGAAGACCAAATGCCAATGTCAACCATAATGGTGCAGAGCGTCCAGTGTCTTGGCCAGCCAGATCGCCAGATCTAAACTTGACTTCTATGTTTGTGGGTGGTTCATATTTTAAACAAGTGCTGTAAATACGTAACGTTAATTTTGTTTCTTATTTAGTTGTTGTCGCTTGGTAAATGTATTTTTATTATTATTTTGATTTAAATTGTTCTTATTTGTAAAGATAATGCCTCCAGGGAAAACTAAAACACACCAGGAACACTACCTCACAGGTGATGTGGAGAGAATTTTGTTGATGTGCTTACAAATTGCACTAAATTTTAAGCATAAACATAGGTATTTTTGTAATATGGTTTGAAGTGTCTGCCACAAGGGGATTGTGTTGGTATGAATAACTTGAAAATGGTGAACCTTAGGGAATAAATTCAAGTTACCTTTTTACGTATTTAGTGCATTAGAATATAAATCTGTTACAATAACTTGTAAAAAATACAGTAGCGTAGGTTTTTTTTATAAAAAGGGGGTGACCTCTGTCCAGTTGTACACCACTGGTGTAGAACTGTACCTTTAAAGCTCATATTTTAGGGAATGCAAGGCCTACCATTATACATTATTTGTATCAAATTTTATTGAGAACGGTTAATAGATTCCTGAGATATAAACAAAAAATAAATTTTTTTTAACAACTTCAATACCCTGTATCTCTAAAACGAGGCCATTCCAGAGCTATGTTTATAAGACAAACTCCTATTATTTTAAAGAGATCTATCTGTCCTCAAAGTTTCCTGCATAAAATTCGGACCACCCTGTATAATTTTTATTATTGAATTCATTTCATTGAATGTCAATTCAATATGTAGGACATTAGTGTATTGTGTTGAAGTATATTAACCAAGCTATATGTTTAATAAAATTTTTGACCAAAAAATTGCCCAATTTATTAGCTAAACTTAAGGGTACAAACTTTTGGAGTAAAAATGAATTATGATAATAACAAATAACCAATCAATTTGGCGCAATAATACAACCACAATAAGAAACAGGTAAATGCAACTTATTTTTTTTTGCTAAATAAATAATAAGTCACACAGAATTCCTAAAACAGAACAGTAAATTGAAACCAATTTTAATATCGCCATTTCTTGGCCAATTCACTGAATCTAGAAAATTTACCATAATTTTTATATTACATGTACCAATACAGAATTCAATATCTTTGCCACTATTGTATAGTCTTTCCGAAGTCAGTTGAACAAGCATAAAAACGTCTGGTAATAAAATTTAATGAGTCATAACCGTCCTTAAAAAATGTTCTGCTAAAGGTAAAAAATTATAATAATTTGTATATAATGTGTAAAAAGTTTCTATTATATGTTCATTTGGCCAACAACATATTTTAATTATTTATGTCCTCAAACAATTTTATTATACTGGTGGTAAATTTTGTTTTGTTCTGTTTCAAAATGTCTCCAAAATGCCATGTTGTGATAATATTAGTAAACAAATAAAATATCCCTTTTATTTCTCCCTTTCGCAATTGTAATATGAATGATTGATAGAAGGTGTATAATAAATTAAAATTACATGAATCACACCAAATTCCGCATTACTGCACAGCACTGCTGGGCAATTTATCAACCACTTGTCATCTGCTGTGATTTATTGCCCAGTAGCCCAATGCAACTGTAATTGTTTTCCTTTGCCCGAGCTCACAGTCTTCAACTGAGCGTATACATTTCTATCGCCTCCACGTTTAATTCGACCAGACCTGTATATGGGTATAGCTAAATAAATATGGGAACAAGTTTTTCAAATATTTCAACGCCGAGTTGCTGCGTCAGCGACCAAACCTGGTACATACTATCAATCTGTTGGTTCTTCAATTGATATCGGAAAAACTATACTTGTGGGTACACACAAAGTAAAGATAAGAGCACAAAGAATAATGTGATTAGGGTGTACGGCAAAATTACCAAATAAGAGACAGACAAAACTAGTTCTCACGAAGGGAATAATAGAGAGAAGGAAAAGAGGGAGGGAAATTTTTCAAATAACATTTTTTCAAAATATCAAGAAAAAAGAATGAAAAGCTGTTTCAAATTATTCTAATGGGGAAATTTTACGGTATTCCATTATTCAGCAGGAACTGTGTCAGTTCCAATTAAGGGTAAGATATGGTGCTTTCTAACATACTAATTATTACAAAAATTTTCCAGTTTTTGATAATGTTGTAATAAGAAGAATTTAGGGTAAAATATGGTGCCTTCTAACATACTAGTTATTACAAAAACGTTCCTACTTTTTGACGATTATACAAAGGTTGCCTTTTATATTTCGGGGATGGACGATCCTGGTGCTGCCATCTGACAACTGACATCTCTATCACAAAGTTCGACTTTTTGTCGGTATACTCACTAGAAAGATTTTGAGGTACAAGCGCTATCTATGTTGTTTACAGTGACTTGAGAAATTCATCTCAGCCAAAAAATGGAATTAAGTTTAGAACATTTTTGAGAAATTATTTTTTACAACTTTCGAGATGGATTATCTCAACAATAGTGCATCGATGAACTAAAATTGACTTTTGGCAATCAAGCACCATCAAAGACCACTGTATATCAGTGGTATACAGACTTCAATCATGGTCGTGGTTTGCTGAGTGACGAATTTTAGTGAAGGTTCTCCAGAATCGGTTGTTGTCCAGAAAACATTGATGCTGTGCATGAACTGATGTTGCAATGTGACTTATCATGAGATTGAGGCATTCTTGGGCATTACTGGGACCAGCATATATTCAATATTGTATGAACATCCGGCCACCAAAAAAAAATTTGCTCACGTTGGATCCCACTTAATTTAAAAAACGTTCAAAGAAAGGCTCCTGTCTATCTATGACATCGAAACAGATGACAAGTCATGGCTCTATGCATATGAGCCCGATAGTAGACTGCAGTTGACTGTATGGGTTTTTCAAAATGAGCCAAATCCGACAAAAGTTGTTCACACACGAAGCACTTCTAAGCAAATGGCCGCCCATTTAAAAAAAAAACAACATTTGGTAACTGTACCATTAGTGCAACGTTGAACGGTCAATTCTGAATGGTACACAACTATTAGTGTGCCAAAATTCTTCAAAAAAATAAGGGAAACCAACCGCTGAAAACAGATCAATCTCCGCCAGGACAAGGGGAGTTCTTACATATCGGCTCAAACAAGAGACTTTTTTTAGAACTAAAAAAGTCGAATTGATAAATCATCCGCCGTACAGCCCTGATTTGGCACCCAATGACTTATTTTATTCCTACAGATCAGGGAGGTAAATGTTTTTCAACACCTGATGAAGCGATTAATGAATTCAAAATGTTCAATGAAAATGGAAAAAGTGCTTCGAAAATTGGTTCAAGTGCATGCAAAACTGTATTAATCTTAATAGAAAATATTATGAAAAACAATAAAGCCATCTGGAATCTGGAATTTTAGGGAGGATAGCTTAAACTGTGTTTAGGCCCCATTGGGCCTATTGTACAATAAAGCCATATAATATTATTAATTTCTTTTTTATTTTCTATTCCCGAAATATAAAAGGTGACCCTTGTACCATGTTATAAAGAAAATTTCAACAAAAAAAAAAACATCTTATAGACACTTACCTTGGAGGGATTGCGCTTCAAACAGTTTTTAACCAGAATATTAATAATTGTCGGCACATGATCTGGCAGTTCCGGCAACTCGTCCTCTTTATAATTAATACTTCTTAATTTCTCCTGATTCTTATCTCCATAGAACGGATTAACACATCCAAATATCTCGTAAGCGATGGCTCCCGCCGCCCACAAATCAGACTTTGAGTAATTCAGTACGCTGAAAGTCCCAGGTTGTTGGCCTAAAATCTCTGGGGCCATGAGAGCAGTATTTCCCCCTTTATCGACATCATAGCTAGTGTAAGGAAGCATTAAGCCATTCTGCTTGTCTGCGAGGCAACATCCAAAATCACTGATTACTAGAATAGGGGTATCTACCTCAGAGGTGTCTAGAAGAAGATTATCTGATTTCAAATCGCGATGGGCTATGTCATGTGCTGTTAGGTGGGCTACGCCTTCAAGCAACTGTGCAAAAAGCAAGATGGACGTTCTTTTGGATAGAACGGAGGAAGTTACATAATCTTTTAAATTAGTGTTATACCTAAAAAAATCGAAAAGTAAAACAACATAAACTTCCTGTTTTATGTGTAAGAATATTTTGAAATTTATCAATATATCAAGTACAGTGCAACCTCTTTAATCCGAACACACTTTAATCCGATCACACGCTAATCCGAACGGCGAAATCTGAAGGATGACAAGAAAAGACTAGATCGCTTCGCGCATAACCACCTAGTCGGCAGTCATTCATGCCTGTCCGCCCAATGTCAGTTTGTTTGCCGATAGCAAGGAACCTGTCGTGTTTTGTGTAACAATTTTGGAGTTTTTTTGGAAGCAAGAAAAATAAAAAATGTGAAAAGCGTAAAATAATACATAGGTATATGTATATGTAACTACATGTTCATGTTTAACCTTATATAAGTTTTATGTGTCTTATATGATTTATATTTATATTGTTATACTTAATAAAATGTGTATGTACTTACATAATATACATATGTACAAATCTGTATAGTATGTTCGATAATCTGAACGATTTGATAATACGAACAATGCCTGGCAATGTGGTGTTCGGATTAAAGAGGTTGCAATGTAGTTCATTCATCTAACACACAAGATTGTTCGATTTTTTTTATCAAACTTGGAACAAGTATTTAAGTACATTTTTTAAGTTATAGAGCTGACCCTGTCAAACCATTAGTTTTAAAAGTAGAAGTATAATACTACAAAACGTATATTCTAAGTGATGCGAAATAGGGAAACATTCCTCCAAACATACTCAAAAATGACTGGGCATAGAATAATTTGAAATAGGTAGGTACATTTAAAAATTATGTCAGTCAAAATTATTTTATAATTTAAATTGCGACAGAATATATTTGAGAAAAAATAATTGTTTTTAAATAATTACCTGATAATCGGCCGCTTTTAAAGTTTGATAAAAAAAATAAGCCACCCTGTTTAAAGTTACTGATACAATAATATATTTACTGTGTGGTATTCTATCTCATAAAAAGACATGATAACTTTAGTTTGAAAATATCATAAAAATTAAGCATATCAGTCTATCTATTGTGATATATTATTATTATTATTCACAAGTATTACATAAGTTTCGTAAACAAAAGAAATATATTTAACACATACTGAATAAATAAATTAATTTAAAGTCATTAAGTCACAGCAACTAAACCTCATTTAGTTTGATACATCAGCAGTTTTTTTTGTCTTTGTGATTTTTATGATTAGATGTTTCTGAGGATGAATACAAAAAACTGGAAACACTTTTATGAGAAATATAATTTATAGCTTTGTATTGGAAATTTTTTTATTAATATTACATGGGGTGATTATTAGGCAATATACAAAAAAATGTACAAATAAAAGGAGATCAGAACAACTAAATATTAAAATTGCTAGTTCAATATTTCCACTTACAAATTATTAAATCAAATAACAGAATTAGGTAAAATAACTAGAAATACTTTTAAAAACTTAGTAGAGTTGGCGTATCTATAAGAAACACTGTGTACCCTTGTCTTTCACATTACTATATATTTTGGTCGTAGCTGCTACCATATAAAAATTTTTACAAGTTGTAGGAGACTTTAACTGGATTAAAATACAATGCAGTTCGAATACTTATAAGAACATTCCAAAGAACAGTAAAATCATGTTATACTAAACGAATGACATAAGTAAACTGAAAATTAATCTATACAAAACCAAAGTTAAAGATACAAATACGTGGCAATATGCAGTCGATTATTAAAAACCTCGTTAAAAGCTAAGTCATTATAAAACAAACTCCGCTCACTGTATGTGAAAATAAAAATATTCTGTTAAAAAACTTGTTATTATACTTTCATACATTACACTATTCGAAATTGGATCTCATTCAATTTTTATTTTTGTACCTGAAATATGGACCACCCTAGACAATTGTTTTTTGACTATAATATTCAAACCTGGATTAGAGCAACAGATTAGATTTTTTACATAATAATTACTTATGAGCAGACATGTAACGGCTTACCTTTTCATAAGCAGAAACAGTGACATATTCCGTCCCTCTCCCTCTGAATATATTCTTCTTGGCAAAGCAGCTGGATAAAGGCCTCGGCAATCCTCTAACTCCGGTACATAATCAGTAAATACAGAAAAAATAGCAATTACATTCGGATGCGGTGGCAAATGTCTATTTCTTTGTGATAATCTAGAAATAACGAATGATTAACAAGTAACTCTTAAAATTGACCAAAGTAGGTACTTACTCGATCTCCCAATCTGAAATTCCTACGTTGCTGTAGTACAACCTAGCAGGGACAGTTTCCCTATACATTGCCTTCAGAATTGCCATTGCGCTTGACTGTATATCATAGTTGAACATCATTTTCAAAGCCAGAGGGAATCTTGTAATGTCATCAGTAGGTTCAGGTTGAATTTTAGTGTTTGTCATTTCTGCTGATGCTTTATGTTGTTCATCCGGAGTTTGAATTCTAGTAGCATAAACTACAGCATTAGATCCCTTTGCAATTGGTTTGCCGAAAGATAAATCGTTAAGTGTTATTGGTGTGTTCTCAAATCGTGATTCATCGATGTCGACATCGTGATAGTGCCATTTGATTTTGGAAATGGCCTCCTGTAAGTAAAATAATAATTTTGTTCACCAAAATCCTCATATCTACATTTGTAACGTTAACAGAAAGCTGAAAATTTATTGTTGGAAATGCTCGTGAGTGATGGTTAGCCTTAAGTAAAACTTACCCGTATTTCCCAACAAACTCCTTCTAATTCATCTTCTTTAGTTAATAACCCAGTTCCTGATGCTAAGCTTACACCTACTAATGCAAAGAATGGACCAGAGTCTCCATATAAAATCCTAAAAGAAACAAAGTACAATTTTTACAAATGTTGTAATAACGTATCTATTTTATTTGACAGGTACCTATTTATTTTTACCATACTCGAAAAGAAAAAGAAACAATAAATAAATAACTCCTTGTACCAAAAGAATTAGTCAAAGAGTTGATTCTATAAACCTGATTTACCTAACCCAAAATTTATCACACAATGAGAAAGTAGATAATTGAGTGAGATTTCATTATAAACAGAGTAACACTTGGCACACAGCATTTATAGTGAAATCTTGAACAATTATCTACTTTCTCTGTTATATATGTTGTTAGAAAAAACTACGTTAATAACCTTAACCCCTTCACAAGTCTATTAGGTACAAGGGTATAAATATTTACAAATTTTTATTTTCAATGTAGCTGAAATATCCTAAAGCAGTACTAAAAAATGCCACAAATAAATAATTCAAGCAACATTATATTTATTTGTATATATAATGCTGTTTACACTGTATGCAAATGTATATATACTTTTATTTCATACTGTCCGGTATATTGCTATTTCCCGGATTCATTTGCGGTCGGTAAGTGAGCTATTACAGTATCAGAGCCGGTAAATTCATTTGCGGTCGGTAAGTGAGCTATTACAGTCTCAGAGCCGGTAAATGTTGCCTAGCAACGTGATATTAGACATGTCACAAACAATATTATAAAATGACAGATCAAGCGATGTCAAACAAAAATTTGATAATTTTAAGGAATAGAAATTTCTCTTTGTTAAAAATAGAAAGACAGTATGAAATAAAATATCATACGATACACGGCCGTTAGGTGTTATTACAGTACTCGTTTTTATTCCAAACAACTCGTAATGTAATAAGTCACCTACCGGACTTGTAACGTAAAATACTATTATGTTTCAAACTACTACTACTACTTTGAATAAACATAAACTACTACTGTTTATGTTTATTCAAACTACGTGAAATTAGTTATTTTGTGTAAAATGATATGCTATAGGCATTAATACTGCTCAAGTATTAAAATTTAAATAATCTAAGTCTCGGAAAGTACTCATATTTGATATTGTTTGTATTGTACAGCCATTGATAAATCCATGTAAGCTGGATAAGCACATAAACAAATAAAAAATAATGTAGCTATTACCAAGGAAATATTAAATATGTTTGCATATTCACCTTCTTGCAGCTCTCTTCCTTAAGTCAGCTGCTAAACTATTTGTAACTCGATTGAGAACATTATCAATAAGGATTTTTCTTGCCTGTAGGCCAATCTGCACACCAACAGTCCTTAAACCGAAGCCCCTGGGTGCTAGATTATTTTTTAGAGCTTGGGGTTGAGGTGCAACTTGTTGTGCGACATTAATTTTGTCGGCAATGATGGTTGTATTGAGATTTCTTTTGCGTATATGGCGAATGACGCTCGTACCATGTTTAAATAAACGAGTCCCTAAAGCCCTTATAGACATTTTGCACTATTACACCACACTTTTATGGGTCACTATACCCTACACCTTATTTTAACTGATATTTATTAAAAATTATCATCGCTGATAAGCAATATCTTCACATAATCACATAATCTTCTTCACTACAATCAATCTGCGCACTTTGACTTTGACATTTCAAAGGGATGGCATTTCAGAGTGGGGATGGGCGATGTGTATCGTATCGATGTTTACAAAATATCGATGTTACGTTTTCGATGTTTGTTGTTTGTACTAATATCCTTCTTAGAACATATACTACTGGAGACTCAAGCAGCCTCCCAACGGTTGGACGCACTACAGGGCGAAAAGAGAGAGATAGCAACGATGAATGTATTTGCTATCTCTCTCTAGTCAAATGTGATTGATTGTTCCTGTCACCTGGGATCAGTCGTAAGCCAATCACGTTCGACAAGAGAGAGATAGCAAATACCTTCATAGCTATCTCGCTCGCATTGTATCCCGCTCGGCCATTAGGAGACTCCCTCCAGTAGTATATGCTCGTAGGTACTATCGATGTTATAGATTCGATAATTCGATGTATCTATATTTTTCAAGGCTTTTGTCAAACATCGAATATTTATATTTATGTAGGATAGGTAACAACAGGCTTTTTTCGCGCCTGAATATTGGTGAATATCTGATTTGTAGTTACTAATTTCTCTCTCTTTTGATCTTAGTTGTCATATGGTAGTTTAAATCGCCATTATTCCATGGCTAGAAATTGGCCTCAATGA